CCTTCTTCTTCCTTCTTCTTCCTTCTTCTTCTTCTTTTCTTCTTTTCTCTTCTTCTTCTCTTTTTTTTTTTTTTGGTTTTATTTTAGAGAGAGCACAGCTGGGGTAGGAGCAGAGGGAGAGAGAGAGAATCTCCCTGCTGAGCATTGAGCCCAATGCAGGGCTCAGTCTCACAACCCTGAGATCATGACCTGAGTCAAAATCAAGAGTCAGAAGCCCAGGCTTCTGACTGAGCCACCCGGGCGCCCCTCCTGACTCCATTCCCAACAAGGTTTTCCTATATTAGTTTTTACACATCTCCCTCTGATAAGGATCTTTTCTCAGGCTCCTGGGTGACTCAGATGGTTCAGGTCATAATCTCAGGGTCCTGGGATCAGTCATGTTGGGCTTCTGGCTCAGTGGGGAGTCTGCTTCTCCCTCTTCCTCCCCTCCCCCACCTGCTTATGCTCTCTCTGTCTCAAACGAATAAATAAAATCTTTTTTTAAAAGTTTTATTTATTTATTCATGAGAGACACACAGAGAGAGACCCAGGCAAGGGAGAAGCAGGCTCCATGTGGGGAGCCCAATGTGGGACTTGATCCCAGGACTCCAGGATCACACCCTGGGCTGAAGGCTGAAGGCAGGCACTAAACCGCTGAGCCACCCAGGCGTCTCTGAATAAATAAAATCTTTAAAAAATTCCTCAAATGTATCACTGATTGATTACAAGTCGGTTTTCTTTTCTTTTTCTTTCTTTTTTTTTACAAGTTGGTTTTCCATGTTCAGTGGTTTTGTTCCTTGGTGCCAGGAAAGACCTTTCCTGGTTGTGATGTCCCATGGCACAGGGAGAGTGCATAGCAGTTGGAAACCAGTTAAGGCCATAACTGAGTAACAAGAAAGATTAGAAGGGAGGAGTCTCAGGCATTTCTCATCTTTGGTCCCTATTTATCAAGTTGGTAAGCGTTGGAGATTATCTCCTTGATGGATATATCATTTTTAAAACATTTTGACAAGCAACAATTATAAAAGCAAAAGTAACATGAAAATTGCAAATTGTCTGACGGCTCTAAACCAGGACCCTAGGTCTAAAAGTAGCCAATTGAATATTGGCAGTTTTCAGACGTGGGGAAATTTTTTTATTCTGTTGATAAAAACCTGGAGTCATGTATTCCTCCTGGAATGTGCATAAATTAGAAACTGAGTCAGTAGCATATGGGTGTTAGGAAGAACAGGGTGCCAAGGGTTAACAATGGTAATAGTGCTCAGAGGTTCTAGACAAACCTCCATCGTTGGCCATTGGGTTTTCTCCCAGGTAAAAACAGACCATTACAGGGAGTAGTGCAGGGGATGGTGAGCCTCTGAGGCTTGTAATTTTCTATTATGGGCTTGATGCCATTAAGGGCTTCTTTATTTATAGGGTATTGATTGATTCTGGGGAGACACGTTGAGAGATCTATTTTATTTTATTTTATTTTTATTTTTATTTTTTAATATTGTATTTATTTATTCATAAGAGACAGAGAGAGAGAGAGAGAGAGAGAGGCAGAGACACAGGCAGAGGGAGAAGCAGGCTCCATGCAAGGAGCCCAACACAGGACTTGATCCCAGGACTCCAGGATCACGCCCTGGGCTGAAGGCAGGTGCCAAACCACTGAGCCACCCAGGGACCCCTGAGAGATCTATTTTAATCGTGATGGGAGGCACACTGTGAATTTCGCCAACATCAGTTGAAGATTTTGCCCAGAAAGAGGATGGTAGGTGATCTAATGAAGACAAATGATCAATGTCCCTAGACTCCACTATAGTGTGTCAGAGATGGAGCAGATGAAAGATGTGGAAGGGTCATTTATTTCCTTTGGTTGTCTATTTTGACCACTGTTGTCCCCCTTTTTTGGGATTAGAATTATTTAGAATTAGAATTATTTCCCCTTTTTAGGGCAAAGACACCTTTTTAAAAAGTGTCCGCCCAATTAAATGACTACAGGCATAGGAACTAAGTAGAAAATGGTGTCGCTCTCAAAGGATCTAGACAAAAGGGAGTGAGTTCAGAGACAGGAACCTGTTTGGTTCGTTAGAGATCCCTGCTCTTTGTATTGTAGACCTCCTAGGTTGGGGCTGTATGCCTGTCAGCAAGGACACAGAGTGAGTCATTCCCAGGGTGGGGAGTGGTTTCTTCAAGCTGATTACAGGGGAAGACTGGGAAGGATCCCTGTGGTTCCCTGGAGTACCATCATTGGGAATGAGGAGGATGTTGGAAAGGCTGGCTGCAGGGATGCAGCTGTGGGAGCGCTTAGGTTGGTAGCAATCTTTTTTTTCTAATGTCCTGATCCTCTGCAAAAATTCGAGAAACTAGTCAGGCTTTGTTTTTGTTTAGGAACCTCCATTTGCTAGAATTGAAAATTAAGAATTTTAGTGGTCTTGAGGCTCCTGGTTGGCTCAGTCAGTAGAGTGTGCAATTCTTAGTATATGTGCTGCCGAAGCGAGCACAGAGTGTGCAATTCTTGATATCAGGTTCGTGAGTTCAAGCCCCATGTGGGGTTTGGAGTCTACTTTTTAAAATAAAATTAGTTGGGGATCCCTGGGTGGCTCAGTGGTTTAGCGCCTGCTTTTGGTGCTAAAAATATTAAAAATAATATTTTTATTATTTAAAAATAAAATTAATTTAAAAAATTAGCAGTCTTTTAGGTGACTCATTTAGGGTATGTATGAGTGCTTTGGCAAATAAAATCTGCAGTGGACATATTTTCACATTCTGTCCTGGTCCTTTTAACTAAAAGAAAAAGATACTGGTTCTGCTCTTTAATAAACATAGACTTAAATGTTACCTAGGTGGATTCCATGTCTACAGGAAGACCAGAATTTTCTTTATTTTTAAAGATTTTATTTATTCATGAGAGACACACAGAGAGAGGCAGAGACACAGGCAGAGGGAGAAGCAGGCTTCCCGTGGGGAGCTCAGTGAGGGACTTGATCCCAGAAACCTGGGATCATGACCTGAGCCAAAGGCAGACACTTAAGCACTGAGCCCAACCAGAATTTTCTTTAAAGACAATTTGGAGTTGATTGTAATTGTCATGTAAAGACTGATCATCATAATCTAAAAAAATAAATCTACTAGTTATTTTACTAGCAAAAATGGGTTTATTTGGTAATAGTGGAGATTTGTAATTCTGTATGTAAAACCACAGGCAAGTCTGGAGAACAAAGGGAGGACCTCTTATAAAGGAGGAGAGAGGATATTGGGATGGGCTGTTCCTAACAAGACATCCACTGGAGCAAACTTGGGGTTCCATATATAGTGTTTTCTCATAGGGTGGGCTGTGACTGTCTCCCATTGGCTAGCCTGTGACTGTCATTGGTTGAGCTGTGACTATCTTATTGGCTGGGATGTTGCCAGGGAAGGAGGAAACCTTCCTTTATCCTGCTGGGGCAGTATGCGTCCAAGGTTGTCTCTTACTAATGAGTGCGGTACAGGATGAGTGGTACTGGTGGGAGCTCCAGGTCTGGCCCCCTGATTCCATTTTAGTCGTGTCTCTTTTATTTATTTTCTTTTTTTTTTCTTTTATTTATTTTCAAAGATCTGGTGGGCTTTGGGCGGTTGTCACTTGTTGGCTGTTATCAATCACGTTGCTTAGAGTATGTGTGAATTAGTTGTTTGTGCTCATCTTCACTGTCTTGGGTAGATTGATACCAGGGGTGGAATTATATTGTGTGGTAACAGTACGTTCATCATTTCGAGGACACTCCAGGCTCTTCCAAAGTGGCTGCACCATTTTACATCCCCAGCAGCAGAAATGCACGAGAGTTCCCCCTTTCCTCATGTCCTCACCAGCACTTACTTGTCCAGCTTTATAGCCATTGTAGTGGGTTTGGAGGGGTATCTGCTTGTGGTTTGATGTGCATTTCCCTGATGACTAATATCTAGCGTCTTTTCCTGAAACTATTGGCCACTTCATATCTTCTTTGCAAAAGTGCTCATATTCTTTGCCCATTATTTCATCACATTATTTTTCTTCATATCATGTGTTTAATTTTTCTTCATTGTCATATGAATTTTTAAGGCATATTTAAAATACAGGACTTATCAGATGTGTGGTAAGCAAACCCCACTTAAAACCATGATTGAAGTAGAATTTGCCTTCCTATTAGGTGATATGGTTGGGATTTTTTTTTTCCATTAAGTATTGAGAACACAGTTTTTGTTTAAACAATGTCTGATTTTTTTTGAAAAAAAAATTACTCTGTATTTCACGAGTGTGGGTTCATACCTTGTTGCTCTGAAGTTATGAATTAGCCTTATTTTCTTTCTCTGTTAAGGTCACAGTGACTCTGTTACCATCAATCCCCCAGGGGCTCTTCTTTCTGGTGTCTTTCTCCTTGAATTCTGGGCACTAAGGTGTATACTTGAGAGGCCCTGCTGATTTCCAAGTTTGTTCAAGAACCAGAACTCCTGTTACACACCAGGAGTGTCAGGCCCCCTGGCCCTCCCTGGGTCCATGCCCAGAGTCCACCTAATCCAGGGAAAGGGTCGTGTCTGCCTGTGTTGGAATAGAAGGACTGCACCAGGCTCCTTGACCTTGTTGCCTTCCAGGGTGAGAGCAGCACTGGAATCCGTGTCCACGGCATCCTCACATTGGTTCTAGTTCTTGGAGCTGACAAGGCAGTAATCATCTTTGAGCAAGTCGAAGATGTATCTTCTGATTCTGTGTTGTCTGAATGATGATTTCATTTTTCGTTCTTACTATACTGGTCTGCTCAGATCTGCTCTTAGTAAAAATAATATTTGGGTGTGTGTACGCCTGTATCGGCTGCTGTCATCACCCTCTGCTTCGGGTTCCCAGCCTGTCCCATCACTGAGTGCACCACAGTGGATCCCCTTGCGTGTTGTCGCTTCCCACACACGTGTGACTTGGGTCCTAGGAATGGAGTACAGTTCCCTGGCTGTCACCTCCCCCCCCAATCATCCCACACACATGGGTGAGGATGGAGCATTACTGCAATTGAATCTGTGGTATGTTTCAGGACTCGGTCGTCTTTGAGGATGTGGCCGTGTACTTCACCCCAGAAGAGTGGGCTTTGCTGGATCGTGGTCAGAGGAGGCTCTACAGAGATGTGATGCTGGAGACCTGCAGGAACCTGGCTGCAGTGGGTAAGGATGGCTCCATCCCTTCACTGGTCTTTTAGGATAAAATGTTTCTTATAAGTGTCCACTATTATTGGGGCCAAGGAATGGGAATACATTGGGGAAGAGACAGACATGGTCCAAGCCTTCATGGAACCTACCTTGAGTCACATACCTTTTCTGTGAAAACAGTTTCATGTAATACATTTTTTTAAAGATTTTATCTATTTATTCATGAGAGAGAGAGAGAGAGAGGCAGAGACACAGACAGAGGGAGAAGCAGGTGCCATGCAGGGAGCCTGATGTGGGACTCGATCCAGGACTCCAGGATCATGCCCTGGGCCGAAGGCAGGAGCCAAACCGCTGAGCCACCCAGGGATCCCTCATGTAATAAATTGACTATTGCTCTGGATCAAAGTCAGACTGTCTAATTTTATCAGTGTGAGAATGGTCTCTGGTGTTGCTCTGGGGCAGTGAGTACTTCTTCGTGGAGGATACACTGAGGTTAATACACATTTCTCATGGCAGTCATGCTGCAGTTAGCCTTGCACTTCATCATCTTCAGTGACCTTGAAGACCAAATTAATGGTCCATTTCCATATTGCTTGTTGCCCTTCAAATCCTCCCTCATGCTGAGCTGTTCTCCAGGGCAGGGCAGGAGCACACACACCATCTGACCTCCTGGCGGCAGCTGGGGCAGCGCAGGCAGGCTTCCCCGAGGTCCTCTGTGCCTTCAGGACAGTCCAGGAACCCTTGATTGGACCAGGTTCTGGAGAAGGGAATGGCATTTGGATATGAGCATTAGAAACATGACTCAGAAAAAAAAAAAAAAAGAAACATGACTCAGTCCTTGTTGGAGAAGAGTGATGTCTGTCATTCACCTGGCTTCCCTGTTGGAACTTTCTTCTATTCTTGCCCATGTGGCAAGCCTTTTTGTATTCCTTTTAGAGGTGGCATGTGGATGTATGGATCTTGCCCAGTTCCTTCCTACTTTGCTTTTCTGATAATACTTCTCTCCACATTAGTCTCTGTATGTTTTGAAGTATTTTTTAGCAGATGGGCTGCTTTTTCATATATTTCCCCTCTTATTGCCAAAGTCCCAAATCACTGGGGTCCTCAAAATTTTTCTTTGGTCACACGTTCATTCTTCCTGATAAACTTCATTTACATTTGGGATCAGTATGTGAATGGAAAGCCACATAGGGTCTATTTTCTTACCTTTAAACATCAGACCAGGGAACCCTGGGTGGTGTAGCGGTTTAGCGCCTGCCTTTGGCCCAGGGCGCGATCCTGGAGACCTGGGATCGAATCCCACGTCGGGCTCCCGGTGCATGGAGCCTGCTTCTCCCTCTGCCTGTGTCTCTGCCTTGCCTCTCTCTATCTCTGTGACTATAATAAATAAATAAAAAGTAAAAAAATTAAAAAAAATAAACATCAGACCATTCCCAAGAAATTCAATTATGGTACCAATTCTTACAGATTGTTGCACTCAAGTTAAACCTTGTGGATCAAGAACTCAGCTGAATATTTTGGAGAGTGAACTATCCAGTGAAGAGAAAATAGTAAGATTTACAAGAAATGATTCCTGGGCTCTTTTTGGAGAAAACCGAGTGTTTCATAATATTGGAGATCAGTTCCAATCCCAGGAGAGGTGTCTGAGGTGAGTGCCTCTCCCATAGGAGAGAAAGGGGGATCTTGGCAAATTGTTAGACTAACTTGAAATTAAAAAATGTAAACTTAGCGCTCAACATTTTTGTAGTCGGAATTACACAATACAAGATCTGTATAAATGTGATGTACATATTGATCATTAGAAATATAATTCATTTCATGACATTTATCAGCAAAACCCACATGTCAGCAATGCTGACAGTCACAGTTATTATTGGGCCCTTATTTTGAGCATTTAGCTTCTTCTACATTGTAGCAGTGTAGATGGTGCCACAAACATGCCCGTTCCTTGGAATTGGTCATTAGGTAGTCAAATAATCATTAATAAACATCAGTAGATCTTTAATTAAGAGATTGGTTATAATATTTTTGCCTAATAGTGTGCCTTCCTGTTTTGAACAGAAGTCATTTGCTGGAGCGTGTCTGTGAGAGCAATGAAGGTAATCAAGGTGGAGACACCGTAAACCAGATTACAGGTCTTACTGTGCACGAAGATTGTCCTGCTGGAGAGAAATCCTGTGAATTTGCTAAGTGTAGAGAAGTCTTCAGAGATGGTTCTTTCCTTGAGAACCCACAAATATTTCACCCTGGACACAAGCCTAATCCCTGTGAGGAATGTGGGCCAACCTGTAGCGGTGTCTTGAGCCTCAGCACTCAGGTGGATGCAGATCTTGTGAGGAAACCTTATGAACATCAGGACATTGGGAGAGCACCTAAGAGATACTCAAATAGTCTGGGTAGTCAAAAATCTTTAGAGTGCGGGAAATGTGGAAAAACTTTCACTTGCACGTCATCCTTTCAGGGTCATGTGCAAGGTCACTGTGAACAGAGAGTCCATGTGTGTGACGTGTGTGGGAAAACCTTTATGTATCAGTCCTATCTTACACGTCACATGAGAACCCACACTGGGGAGAGACCCTATGAATGTGTAGAGTGTGGGAAAGCCTACAGTTGCCTCTCATATTTTCGAGAACATGTGAAAACGCACAGTGGAGAGAAACTCTATGAATGTAAGCAGTGTGGGAAAACGTTCAAATATCCTGCGTCCCTGCAAGGACACATGATGACGCATACTGGAGAGAGACCTTATCTGTGTCAACAATGTGGGAAAGCCTTCAGTTGTCCCAAATACTTCAGAAGACATGTGAGAACACACAGTGGAGTGAAACCCTATGAATGTACGTTATGTGGGAAAGCCTACAGTTGTTCCTTATCCCTTCGGGAACATGTGGGAACACACAGTGAAGAGAGACCCTATAAATGTAAGCAGTGTGGGAAGGCTTTCAGACATCCTCGATATTTTCAAAGACATGTGAGAATGCACACTGGAGTGAAACCCTATGAGTGTAAGGAGTGTGGGAAAGCCTATAGTAGTTCCACATCACTTCAGGAACACGTGAGGACACACACAGGGGAGAGGCCCTTTGAGTGTCAGCAGTGTGGGAAAGCCTTCACTCGTCACTCCTCCCTTCAAGGACACGTGAGAGCACACAGTTTGGAGAAACGTTACGAATGTACACAGTGTGGGAAAGCCTTCCGTTGGTCCTCATCCTTACAAAAACATGTGAGAACGCACAGTGAGGAGAAACCCTATGAATGTCAGCAGTGTGGCAAAGCCTTCTGGTATCCAGCCAACCTGAGAGCACATGTGAAGACGCACACTGAGGACAGACCCTATGAATGTCCGCACTGTGGAAAAGCCTTCAGTTGTCACTCCTCCCTTCAAGTACATGTGAGAAAACACAGTGGGGTGAAACCATATGAATGTAAGGAGTGTGGGAAAGCCTTCTGGTATCCTGTAAACCTGCGAGCCCATGTGAGGACTCACACTGGGGAGAGACCCTATGAATGTCAGCAGTGTGGAAAAGCCTACAGGTGTCCTGCAAACCTGCGGGTACATGTGAGGACTCACACTGGGGAGCGACCCTATGAATGTCAGCAGTGTGGGAAGGCCTTCAGGTATCCTGCAAACCTGCGAGCGCATGTGAGGACTCACACTGGGGAGAGACCCTATGAATGTCAGCAGTGTGGAAAGGCCTTCCGGTATCCCACAAACCTGCGAGCACACGTGAGGACTCACACTGGGGAGAAACTCTGAATATGAGGACAGTGGGAAAGCCTTCATTCTTCCTTAAAATCTGTAAATCCAATCAGACACACTGGCAGGAAACCTTATGAATGTAAACAATGTTGGAAAACCTTCAGATATAGCACCTCAATTCTTTTGTATATAAAAACTCAGGGCTGGACAGCAATCTGTATTTGTTATAAATATGGTTGTGCCTTATAAGTGCCTCGCCCATAACAAGGATCTCTACTGTATTTATTTCCACTGCATGTTTCTGATGAAAACACTGAGATAAAATATTCCCTTACCTGCCTTTTGTATGAAATATATTTTGTTATCTCATACATGAAAAAAAAATCTATGATTCTGTAAAACTTGTCTCTTTTCTATTACAATGTCTTTTGGACCCAGGAGTGATAAGTGATTTGTATACATATCTTGCCTTCTGTTGTGGATACTGGAATTTCCGACTCCATATCTACCTTTCATTTCTATTTTTATTATTGAAAGATGTATCTTCACATTTGCTCATCACTGCTGTATACCACACCTGTGTTCCTTACAGAAATTAGTAAATGTGCAGGATGTTGTAAGAGACAGTCTACTCTAATTATGTTCATATTTCGATTTCTGCTGATCACCCTTCACCTTGGTTGTTCATCAGTCAGGATGAGTTAAGAAGAGAAACCATGTGGTGTGAAGATGAAAGCTAGCATCTGGTTGATTCTCCTGGATTTCATTGTGAGCATGGTGAGGCAGGAGACCCTATGTTGCAGAGTCGTCTTCTGTGTGGTTCTGAGATGAAGGCCTTGAGGAGAGAAACCTCGTGAAAGAGCCATGGTTTTCCATTCTTCTATGCCAGCAGGAGACAGAACTGCATGGGGACCCAAATGGGCCTGGGTCATGGCATGTTTTCCTGACTTCTGGTCTGTCATCTGGAACAGCCATCAACCTAACATATGTTCGATGTTTCTGTTAGGTAGCATATTCCAGAGACTTCTCCATGAGCTCTCCCAGGATGGACTGTCTTGGTTATCAGGCCCACACAGATCCTTATGTTGCCTTGTGCTCTTCATGTCCACGAGGCCACCTCTTCCGCCCGTTAGGTGTAGGAATCCCTCTCATCCTGGTACCCCTTCATTTCCCATGCGTTTCCTAATACATGGTTTCTGTGGTAAACATCTTGTCCCTCTCAGGATAGATCTGTGTCCTGCCACCCTGCTGACAGATTTAATGCTGCACCCACAGATACAGGAAACCTCCTTCCCTCTTTGCACTGTAGAGAGGCTACACTGACCCCGTATTTCTTCCTTTTGGATGTTTCCATGATTGGAGTAAGCACTTATGAGTGTATTTGGCAGCTTGTGGGAACTTTCCTGTATGGCTGACTAGCTGACCTCTATGTAAGAGATAAGCTCTGTATGCTTAGTTTTTTTCTGTTGTTACATGTGGTTTCTCAGTGTTTGATTTTTTCATTCCTAATATGTGATTCAAAACAGTGGGATTTTTTTGGTGTGTGTGTGTGAGATGTAATCCTCCATATTACTTCTTAGAAAGCCTATTACCTGGGTTTTCAAATCTGTTACATCCTTCTAAGGGCCATCGCTTATGATTCGTTACCTGAGAAGGTATGTTAAAATGTTATGCAAGAGGATTAATTAATTTTTGTAATTGTATTATTTTCCATATATATTCTGAATAGTACTAAATTCTGTTAATCTTAAAAATACGGCTGATGGTTCCTTTACCAGGAAAAACCAGGGTTTATCTGTTAATAGCAGTGAATTACAATTTTAGTACAGAAATGCTACAATAAAAATAGCAGCATGTCTCGAGGACAGAGGAGAGTACTGGTCTTTAATAGAAGAAAGGGGGAGTTGGGAGGGGCGGTTATAACAAATAGCCCACTGTAGTGAAGTGGGAGTTCAAGTGTAGTGTCTTTTCATTGCCTGAGCTGTGACAGTGTCATTGGCTAGGCTGTTACTGTCGGAGAAAAACTCACTTCCTCCTGGTGGATGGTAAAGCACTAGCTAAAGAAGCATTGAATTATAAGATGTCTCTTCTTCTTATTTTTTTTAAAGATTTTATTTATTTATTCATGAGAGACACAGAGAGAGGCAGAGACACAGGCAGAGGGAGAAGCAGGCTCCATGCAGGGAGCCCGATATAGGACTTGATCCTGGGACTCCAGGATCATGCCCTGGGCTGAAGGCAGGCACTAAACCGCCAAGCCACCCAGGTGTCCCTGTCTCTTTTGAGTGTGGAGTTGACAATCGGTGCTAGGTCATGAGACCTTCCCCTGCCAGCCTACCCCCTCTATTTTGGTCCTATTCCCTTTATTTTCACATTTCCCACTTTTTCTCAAGATCATTCTTCAAAAGCATCACTGATCAAGAGTCAGGCTTTCCTATTTCAGTGGTTTTGTCCCTCAGCACCAGGGAGGCATTTCCTGGTTGTTGTCTCTCATGTTGGAGGGAAAGTGCATGCAGTGGAAACCAGTTAGGGCCACGTTTGAGAAACAGGAAAGGTTGGGCAGGAGAAACTTTCTCCCACCTGGGAGAAAGATTAGTACTTCCCACCTGGTCCAAATTTATCAAGATAATAAGCATTGAGGGACACCTGGCTGGCTGGCTTAGTCAGTAGAGCATGCAACTCTCAACCTCCGGGTTGAGCTTGAGCCCCATGTTGGTTGTAGAGATGACTTTAAAATAAAATCTTGAAAAAAAAATCTTGATAAACATTGGAAATCATTTAAGTATTAGGTACATCATTTTCACAAAAGTTTGACAGGCAACAGTATAGAAACTGTAGAATAAATACACAAAATACAGAGGAGTTGGGAATGCTATGCATGTGAATATTATAAAGCAGGACCCTATGTCTGAAAGTAGTCAGCTGAAATATTTATTGCCACTTATTCAGACCTGGGGAGGAAAGGTTTTATCTATGAAAACAAACCCGGAGTCATGGCTGCATCCTGGAAGCAGCATAGGAGTATGTTGTGAAAGCAGCAAAGGAGTAGAATAGTGGAGGGGTGCCTGCCTGACTCAATGTGACCCTTGACCTCAGGGTTGTGGGATTGAGCCCCGTGTTGGGTGTACAGGTTTATTTTTAAATACATTCTTAAAAAAAAAAGAGTGGATATTGCAAGAGCACACAGAATCAACTGAGTGGACTGGGGTAGATACAGTATGGTAAAAGAATGTGAAGCAGTGGCTGATAGAATTTTTGTAATATTGGCAAAATTTAAAGACATTTTAAAATGATATTGTTAATCTAAAAAAAAGCCTGTTTAGAACCAAATATGATATCAAATACAGCCTAAAAAAATGAATTTTCAGAAACTGGATTGCATAAGAATCCAGTATCAGTGAATATTTCAGATGAAAGACTTCTTTGAGGGGTACCTGGGTGGCTCAATCAGTTAAATCTCTGACTTTAAAACTCAGGTCATGATCTGGGGTCTTGAGATCAAGCCCCACGTCAGATTCCGCCCTCAGTGGGGAGTCTGTCTCTCTCCCTTTACCTCTGCCCCTCCCCCTGCTCACGCTTTCTTTCAAATAAAAAAAATCTTAAAAAAAAAAAAAGAGAGGGATCCCTGGGTGGCGCAGTGGTTTGGCGCCTGTCTTTGGCCCGGGGCGCGATCCTGGAGACCCGGGATCGAATCCCACGTCAGGCTCCCAGTGCATGGAGCCTGCTTCTCCCTCTGACTGTGTCTCTGCCTCTCTCTCTCTCTGTGTGACTGTCATAAATAAAAAAAAAAAGAGAGAAAGACTTTTTAGAGTTTGGAACCTCTTAACACTTAGGAAAAAGCTAGTGAAAATTACCTTGTCATGGGATCATGATTAGGGTGGTTCTGAAAGGCCAGAACTTGAAGAAGAGGACCACCCCCCACGCCCTGCCGCTGGTGCAAGAGTTTGGGAAATGAGGACAAGGCATTTTCTTTCGATCAAAGAGAAGAAGTGACAAAAAGAAGTCAGGCCTTGGCCAGACATTTCAGGAAGGCTGTGGCACAGATGTTATCTGCTGCCACTTGGGGGATCTTTACCAACTATTGATCTAAATGTTTGTGTTTTACTCTTGGCTAAGGTACATGGCCAAGTAAGGGTGTGTAACTCATCCTATTAGTTGGACATCCAAGGGAAACACGTTGCTGCCTCAGTATCTTTAAAAGGACCTGCAATAGCACACCCAGCTGAATATTTACCACTTCCATCCTTTTAAAAAGACCTATGAGTAAACTGAAAAATCCTTATTGTTTAGAGGAGAGACATGTAAAATGCCATAGAGTTAAAATGTGACACGTCAGCCTTAAGCGGTCATGAGGGGTTTTGTGTGGATCCAAGTGTGGTCTTGTTGCAAGGTCAGGTGCCCTAAATATTGGTCCTGAGCTTAAGCAAATATAAATTTTTGCCATTTATTTATTTTTGGAAGAGAGAGAGATGGGGGATGGGCAGAGGGAGAGGGAGACAGAGGATCCCATGGAGCCTGACCTGAGGCACGATCTCCCAACCCTGAGATCATGACCTGAGTCAAGACCTAGAGTCGGACACTTAACTGACTGAGCCACCCAGGCGCCCTTGGACTTCATGTCCCTTTAAAGCCAAAAGTTCTAACAGGTAGATGACATGTTCCATTGAAGGGAAGCAGAGAATGCAATTATCCCCATACTGTAACAAAGTAAAGATGCAGAGAACCCTCTGTCACCCAGAGCGGCTTTAGGGGTTTGTGAAAAGCAAGAAAGACTGTGTGGGTCCCTGAGGCATGCCTGTCCAGGGGTATGTCTGTGCTGCCAAGTGAAAGCAAAAGTTGACCACACTTACCAACTGGAATACTAAAAATGGGCTGCATGGATGGATTGCAATGAAAAATTTGCTCTCCGTGGCGGTGGATGTCAGTAGCCGGGTTGGTGGGGGGGGGGGGTTAGGAACCACAGCGTGTGGAGGGATGGAAAGGTTATTGCTGAGAGGTCTTAGACGACCATTGTCAGCCGTTGGGTTTTTTCACCAAGAAAACCGGGGTGTTGCAGGGAATAGATCCAGGGGATCATGAGACACTGAGGCTTTTAATCTGCTATCATGGATTTGGTGCCCTGAGGGTCTTCATTATTTATAGGGTATTGACTACTTCTGGGAAGAGGTTTTGAAGGACCTATTTGAATATTGATGGAAGGTCACTGGATTCCGCCGGGATCAGTTGAGCATGTTGCCCATAAAGAGCATGGTAGCTGATCCAATAGGAACAAACCACCAGTGTTCCCAGACTCTGCTATCGTGTCATCAGAGACAGAGTGTACAAAAGAGGCCATGGGGTTATTTCCCCTGGCTGGCTATTTGGATCACTACTACCAAATTCTAGAATTATTTGGCCATTTGGAGGAATTGAAATTCTGGGATTTTACATTTCTTAGAAGCCTTAGCCTAATACGTGAATAAGGGAGGAAGGAAGGAGAAGGGGATGAGTGTGTCTTGAAGGGTCTCGATGAAAGGAACGGGCTCAGGGACGGGAATCTATGGAGGTTCATGAGAGGACCCACTCTGGGAGCTGGGTCAGCCCTTCCAGGTGGGATGGGGAGGGGTTGGGCACCAGGAGTGT